CTTCCGACCTCCATCACCAGACAACGGTCTTTTCGACCTCCATCCTATCGACTACGGTCGTGCCGATAAAACAAACACATCTATTGTAACTCCCACCATGTAATGCACTTTATATGATGTACATTTGTGATATCAAGCAAAGGTCTTCTCCCAAGGAAGGGCCTCATTTGTAATCGACTGCAAATATTAGTGGATTCATTCAAACTGGGCCAGGCCCCGTGGTTTTTCCCCGTTTTTCAGGGGTTTCCACGTAAAAACTCTGGTCTCTTATGAATGCTACACCCTCTCACTTATCTGATTGTGTGCTGGATCTTCGTACAATGCTAAGACGTTAAACTATATATTTCTCTACCGCCGTGAATACTCCATGACGCAACAATTATAGAGGAGTGCAATATAAAAAAAAATATTTCCATTCACCTAAAACATATACTATTTTTTATTTTATTTACAAAACAATCAAAAGTTAATCTTTGGAATACATCAACACTAATTATATATTTCTTTTAAAGTTACATCCTTTAACATGTAATCATTATTTATGTATCCATTAAGTGTCATTGGTAATTTCATCCAATAAACAAAATTACTAGTGAACCTTCATTGGATTAAGATTTAAGAACATTAGACTACAATTATTTACCTTTTTTTTAGCTATTTATTTATATTCTCGGTCTCTAGTTTTATTTTCAATTATTTTCTAATTAAAAGATTGTAGATTCCTCTAAATCTCCTTAGTGGCTTATATATTTTTGTTATAACTAGATCATTTTATATCACTTTGTCCTTAGAGCTTCGACAAACTTTATTTTTTACCTTTCTTGACCTCCTCATTTAGGGTCTTTATTTTTTAGCAGTATTCAAGATTTTGTTCATGGTTATGTGGTATCTCTCCCATGACTGTTTATTGCTTTGTCTTATTATTTCTAGACATTCAAAGAGATATCAACAGTTGCATTATTAATCTTAGAAGTTTTAAGTCAATTCTTCACAACTTTTATTAGCTAGTTTCATCCAAGCCTTCTTAAACAATAATGTTTCTATACTACACAACCCAAAGTGACTCTTATCGATGTTAAGATCAACATCTATTAGGACCCTCAATCTATCGAAGTTTTAACCCAAAGTGACTCTTATCAATGTTAAGATCAACATCTATTAGGACCCGGTTCGGGTTGACCCGAACCAGAAATTTTCTTGTTGGGTTCGAGTCGGGTTTTCAAGTTGTGTCCAATATTGACACCCCTATGAAAAATATTATTGATACATCCTCAAAAAATTATCTTGATCGGGCACGAATCTTGATGCAAAATCAAGTTGGAAACTTTCGAAATTAAAATTAGGAGCATTTGAACTCCGATTTCAACAAACTTATAGTCAAACTGAACATCTTAGAAATATGAATCCAACGACACCAAATTCGACTCAATCCGAGCCCAAATGAGTCCAAATCAAGGACCCGAAGCGCTATTAGAATGTTAAAATCACAATTTGGATTAGCAAACGGATTCCAAACATAACAAGCTTATAATAGAATCGAGCGGCTCGACGAGACGAATCCAACGAGTCTAAGATCACCAAATTCTGACATCATTAAGGCCTTCAAATGTTTGATGAACGATTTATGATCAAGGGATTTAATATCGACCGTCCATCCAACCACTCCCCATTTATCCTTGATCTCTCACCTATTTACGGGCCATGCCACTACAGAAAATCTATAAATAGACCCCTCATTTCTCTTGAGAGAGGGACCGGAGCAAGAAGAAAAGAGGAGAAGAGAAGGAAGAAGCTCCTCCTCGACCACTGCCGGACCACTGCTTGAGGCCCTCACCTCCGCTGGACCACCGTATGACGTCGTTGTTCCGCCGGACCACCACTTGAGGCCCTCTCCTCCGCTGGACCATCGCCTGACACTGTTACTCTACCGGACCACCACTTGAGGCCCTCACCTCCGCTGGACCACCGCCTGACGCTGTTGTTCTGCCGGACCACCACTTGAGGCCCCCACCTCCGCCAGACCACTGTCTGACGTCGTTGTTCCGCCGGATCACCACTTGAGGCCCTCACCTCCACTGGACCACCGCCTGACGCCATTGCTTCGCCGGACCACCACTTGAATCCCTCTCCTCTGACGAACCACCGCCTGACGTCGTTGCTTCGTCAGACCATCACTTAAAGATCTGTGCTCTGCCGGACCACCACCACTCAAGGCCCCGACCAATGCCAGACCACCACCTAAGGTTTGGATTTCTGCCATACCACTACCTGAGGCCTAAACTTCTATTAGGCCACCTATTGATGCCAAGAGTTCTACCAGAGTACCCCCCTACTACAATGGTCTTTCTGACATCGGTCTCCTGCCGACTACGATCCTTCTGACCTCCGTCACCCACTATGGTCCTTTCGAGCTCCATCAACAGACAACGGTCTTTCTGACCCCGGACTCGTGTCGACTACGGTCCTTCTGACCTTCGTCGCCTATTATGGTCCTTTTAACCTCCATCAACAGACAACGGTGTTTCTAACCCCAGTCTCCTGCCGGCTACGGTCCTTCTGACCTCCGTCGTCTACTATGGTCCTTCCGACCTCGATCGCCTACTATGGTCCTTCCGACCTCCATCACCAGACAACGGTCTTTTCGACCTCCATCCTATCGACTACGGTCGTGCCGATAAAACAAACACATCTATTGTAACTCCCACCATGTAATGCACTTTATATGATGTACATTTGTGATATCAAGCAAAGGTCTTCTCCCAAGGAAGGGCCTCATTTGTAATCGACTGCAAATATTAGTGGATTCATTCAAACTGGGCCAGGCCCCGTGGTTTTTCCCCGTTTTTCAGGGGTTTCCACGTAAAAACTCTGGTCTCTTATGAATGCTACACCCTCTCACTTATCTGATTGTGTGCTGGATCTTCGTACAATGCTAAGACGTTAAACTATATATTTCTCTACCGCCGTGAATACTCCATGACGCAACAATTATAGAGGAGTGCAATATAAAAAAAAATATTTCCATTCACCTAAAACATATACTATTTTTTATTTTATTTACAAAACAATCAAAAGTTAATCTTTGGAATACATCAACACTAATTATATATTTCTTTTAAAGTTACATCCTTTAACATGTAATCATTATTTATGTATCCATTAAGTGTCATTGGTAATTTCATCCAATAAACAAAATTACTAGTGAACCTTCATTGGATTAAGATTTAAGAACATTAGACTACAATTATTTACCTTTTTTTTAGCTATTTATTTATATTCTCAGCCTCCAGTTTTATTTTCAATTATTTTCTAATTAAAAGATTGTAGATTCCTCTAAATATCCTTTGTGGCTTATATATTTTTGTTATAACTAGATTCTTTTATATCACTCTGTCCTTAGAGCTTCGACAAACTTTATTTTTTACCTTTCTTGACCTCCTCATTTAGGGTCTTTATTTTTTAGCAGTATTCAAGATTTTGTTCATGGTTATGTGGTATCTCTCCCATGACTGTTTATTGCTTTGTCTTATTATTTCTAGACATTCAAAGAGATATCAACTGTTGCATTATTAATTTTAGAAGTTTTAAGTCAATTCTTCACCACTTTTATTAGCTAGTTTCATCCAAGCCTTCTTAAACAAGAATGTTTCTATACTACGCAACCCAAAGTGACTCTTATCGATGTTAAGATCAACATCTAATAAGGCCCTCACACATTGTCATGAATCTAACATTCTCTCAATCTGTTGCGAACATAAGAATCATGTAAGTATTAAATCAACTAAATATAAAAAATGATGTTTTAAAAACAAGTATGACAACATTTTCCCTAGTCAAGATCCCAAGTTGGTCTCGCCAAATGAGCAAATTTAGGTGTCACCTTCAGCGTGTATCTTAAATAATCATCTTCAACAATACCTTATCGTAAGTAGAGGGCTCAACCTCCCACCTTATCATTCCTCAATTTTAGGGCCCAATTGGTCGCTGTCTATCGAATCATACAAAACAAATTGTGAAGCTAAAATCACAAACTCATTAATGACCTCGTGAGCAAGAGAAGGTAAGATTGGAGGATTGTGTGCCAACAATTTTGATAAGCTCACAATGGCAAACTTCTCTTTAAGGAATCTTAAAAGCCATCTCTACAATGATTCAGCATCAAGGTAATGAAAATCTATGTGAACTATTTTGCTATTTATTGATTTTTTTTATAATTTCAAGATTTTATTACTTAATTTAGCTTAATTAATTATAATTAAAGTAATAAGATTAAATAGCACAATTAACTTGAACTATTATATTAATTTAGTATGTAAATCAAAATTAACACAAGATAAAATCATAATTAATAATAAATTAGTAATTTACTAAGCTAATTAAATAATAATTTATAAATGGCAAACTTCTCTTTAAGGAATCATAAAAGCCATCTCTACAATGATTCAGCATCAAGGTAATGAAAATCTATGTGAACTATTTTGCTATTTATTCTAAAGCTTAATGATTTTTTATAATTTCAATAATTTATTATTTAATTTAGCTTAATTAAATATAATTAAATTAATAAGATTAAATAGCACAATTAAATTGGACTATTATATTAATTTAGTATTTAAATCAAAATTAACACAAGATAACATCATAATTAATAATCAATTAGTAATTTACTAAGCTAATTAAATAATAATTTATATTTAGTGAACTTAATTAAGTTAATATTTTTTTTTAAATTTACTAACATTAATAATTAATATTGATTTAATGACCTAAACCCTCGTCTTTCTCCAGCGGACTCGCCGCCTCTCCTCTCCTACGCGAAACCCTCGGAGAACAAAGAAGCGCGGAAGTCGTGACGGGAGCTTGCTGCGAGGCGTCGACGGGATCGTGGGGTCCAAAACCTTCCCTTCTGCTTATACCGGAAACCCTCGACGAAAAAGACACGAGGAAGTAACAACTGAAGCTGCAGGCGAAGACGTCGACGGGTATTTTCGTCTAAATCCCTTAAACACGCCGAACTATAGGATTTAACAAGTTAAATCCGTAATTGAGTTCGAAATGGAGGTAATATGTGATTTATCCGTTTATCAGGATTTGGCTTTTCCTCGTCGCCATTTCTTCGTGGCTGCTTCGGCTTTGCGTGCTTCGCGTGAAATTGTTTTTGATAGAGTTGCTAAAGCAGCTTCTTCGCCTCCTTCGGTGGCGTCGATCGGAAGTCGAGACGGGAGCTCGCTCGCTCGCTGCGTACGTAACCATCTTCGCCTCCTCCGTCAAGACGGGAGCTCGCTCGCTCGCCGCGGAAGAACTCGACGAATCAGTAAATCCCGTTAAATCCGCCGTCGAACGACGGGATTTAGCAAATCCCGGATTTAGGATTTACCATCGATTCAGATTTATTGCGTGCTCTCAAACTGTTTGGTATTACAAAAAATCCGGCCTAAAGCCTGCTTAAATCCTGCTACCAAACAGCCCTTTAAGGTAAATCCTGCTTAAATCTGTCTTCCAAACAGCCCCTATAGTGTTCATACGAGTGGTGTTAAACAAATACAAAAGCAATCACGTTGTTGATAGAATTATATCTATTATTATTGATATTATTATGTTTAAGTGAACGAATCTTAGAAGAATTGTCCAATCTCCTTACCCTCGGATGCCGAACATATAACCCGGGGTGTTCTCAAGCTCCGCGGCCTCAGGCGATTTAAGCTTTTCCGAGATCCGCGCCTGCAACCACCGCCAGATTCTCCCGCCCTTGCTTTTCTTCTCCAACTAACCCGCCAAACTGTTCTCATATCCTGTCAACTCTAGTTTTGTTCTATCAGTTTTTTTTTTTGGGTATTGTGAGAGAAATTTAAATTTCTTAATTTCTTATTTCTTAGGTTCATAGACCGTACCTGTCATATCCTCTGAACTTTTGTTTAGTACTATCCTCTTTGAAATTTTTTTTTTAATATAGTGTATGATAATCTATGGAGAGAAATATAAACCAATGCCTAATTGCTTAGGTTCATAGAGGGTACTTGTGTGCTAGAAAATTCATGAAAATAGAGAGAGAATTTTTATGTATTAGCTTTTCACGAAGATTTAACTTAGACAAGCAACAAAAAAGGAGACAATACACACAAAAATTTTTCGTGAAAAACCTGGTAAGGGAACAAGCCATGGGGCCTAGCTCGGATAAAATGATCAACTATAAATAAGTTACAAGTCTATAATTCCCGTCAAGTGGAGAAGATGAGATTATAAAGTATGTAGTCCAAGTTTATATTTTTTGTAATTGTGAGGGAGAATGTTAGAGATGTAGTGTTTGGATGGTGTTAGTCAAACGAGAATGATCAGGTGACAGTGGTTGGGTGATAACAATTGGGCAATGATGGTCAGATGATAGCGATCAAATGGTGGTGAGTGGATAGTGACGATTAGGCGACAGTGGTCAGATGACAGAAATTAGTCAAATGCAGTTAGACAATGATAAGATTAGAGGGAGACTCCTTTGATGGTTTGGTCACATAAAACGACGGCCTTCTGATGATTCGGTTAGGAAAGTAGAGGTATTAGATTTGACTTATGTTAAGAAAGGTAGAGGTAGACCTAAAAAGACTTGGTTAGAAAAAAATAGAAATGATCTTTTTTCATTAGATTCAAACGAGATTTTGACTTTTAATAGGGCAATGGAGAAAAACGATTCATGTAGTCGGCCCCACATAGTGTTGTTGTTGTTGCAGTTAGACAATTATAATCGAGTGATGGCAGTGGCTCAACTGTGATTCTCTATCGGAATTTAAGTAGAGCTTCATAATTTTCAAATCTCCAAACTCAAATATAAGACCTTTATGTGGAGAGTGAAAGTCTTTTTATAGTATTTTAGAAGTATCATATTGAATCCTTTTATAAGAGTCCATTCATTTAGCATCAAGTGTCTTAATGACCTCAAAATCAATAAATCTCAAGATTGATGGATATGCCTTATCAAGCCACTCAATTTGACCATAAGCAAGGAAAATTTTGATATTGTTTTATCTTTAAATCAATGCTATGAAGTTTCTAACTTTACTTTGAGTGCTTTATTTTGGGTCATTTGAATTTAGATCGGATAATTTTTTATGTTGTTGAATTCGTCTTGTCAATTTGCTTAGTCTGATCTAAGTTTGCTAAAATTGGAGCTTAGCTTGTTCTGAATTTAATTCTGAAAGTTTTTAATACAAATAATGCATCAGGATTCATGTAGATCAAGTGAAAGTTCTTCAGACATATTAGTGCTAGTCATATATGTGAGAATTTTTGCAAGGATAGCATGCTTTCTTCATCTTAGTGCAAAGATATTAGTACTAGTCATATATGATGAGAATTTTTGCAACGATAGCTTGCTTTCTTCATCTTAGTGCCATCAAGTGGAGAGGGCGGCCAAGGGTGGAGAGGACGGCCAAGGGTGGAGAGGAGGGGACTGTTTGGATGAGGGAGAATTAGGTTAGGTTAGGGAGAGAGGAAAAGCTTTAATCCAAATCTGTAATTAATTTCAGATTTTAAGTAGATTTGGAGGGATTTAATTTGAAATTCATATTCAAATTGAGGGATTGGGAGCTTTAAAGGGAATTAATGGGGAAGCCATCAATTAGGGGGGGGGCATTGAGGGAAGAGGGGAAGGATTGGTGGGGATTTAAAAGCTTCTAAACTTAGTATTCTAAATAAGGAAGAGGAAAATTAAATCAAATCTGAATGAGATTTAAAACTTTTCAAACATGGCTTTGTCAAATTAGGAAAGATTTTGAAATTCAAAATTTGAATTTCAAATTGAGGAGTTCTCTTCCTAAGTCAAGGGAGGCTATTTTGGTAGGTGGTAATGATGACATTAATCATCATTGATGGTGGATGGACAATGGGGGGGCCAGTGGCATGGTGGTGGGAGGCTTGGGGATTCGGTTGGGGGAAAAGTGGGGCTCGACCGGCGGACGGGTAGTATTGTGAGGGAGACTTGGGTGGGGAAAATGATTGACGACGAAGGGACTAGGGGAAGCCGGCGGGTGGGGTGGGGAGGAAAGAAGAAAAGCAAATTGAAATAAATGGAACCACAAGCCGCGGACTCTTTCAGCAACTGGTGGGTATTGCGCTTGCTCACCTCGAGCTCTCTCTCCCTTCTCTAGTGCTCACACAAGAAGAAGAAGAAGAAGCAAAGGAAAATTTCATTAATCATTCATCAAAATCTTACAACACATTAGACCATTATATATAGGTCTCAATCATGAAAAAGGAAAAGTATGCAATTGCCCTCTGGGCTACAATAACAAGACAATTCCCCAAAGGGGTAAATTCGGAAAACAACAAAACTAAATAAACATAACATGAAGAAATGCATCAAAAGTAAAGGCACTGAATCGTGGCCGTAGATCTGCGATTCCTTCGTCGATAAACTTGTCGGTAGCGTCTGTCGATGTCCTCATCATTGTGGCTGTTAGATTTGGCAACAACCTGACTCCATTGTTGATGGCTAATCTAGCTATTTATTTCCAATAGGATGATACTTATGCAAATGTTGTTCCGTTTAGGGTTTGATATAGTCCTTTTCCTAATTGGTCTTTGTAAGCGTCTTCTATGGCGTAGATTTTTCCTGTATGGGGAATTGTCTTTTCAAAGAAGTTAGATTTATTCTTCTAAAGGTGGAAGAAGCTATAATCTTCTTGTAATTTTGAAGTAAAAAATCTTTAATGGTCTATGTAATTTTGAGATATCTAAGTTAGCCTCAAAAGACAAATATAGATAGAGTGCTGATGGAAAGGATAGCTAACAACCAGGTTTAGTACTAACTTTTTTGAATTTGGTAGTATATGTTAGTTACCCTTTTCTTAGACTAGTGGAAGAGGTGAGACGGCTATTTTAAGTACACGTACCAGGAATTGTATTTGTCTTATGTCAAATATTGATTTTAGTTTGAATCTATGCTAAATCTTTGTGTTGGAAGTACAATCTATCTCTTTGTAGTTGGTGTATCTATATGTATATTTAGCGGCGGAGTGCTCAATTTTTGGTGAAATATGGAGTTGATCAATAGTATACTCATCAATACTACCCTTACCTTTCATTTCTTGTTGTCTTCATGAATATTCTATGCTACCATTAATATTAAACTACCCTTATTTGTTTTCATTATTGGAATAGTAAACAAGCCAAACTTTCCTAGTCATTTCTTCCTTTCTAGAATTCCTATTTGTACTGTTCTCGAATTTATCATATATTGGCCAAGTTTGACGCAGTTGATCACACCAAGAATATGCATGAGTGATTGTATTTAGATATCTTGGATCTATTGTTCAGAGTGATGGTGAAATAGATGGGGATATTATCAGCAGAATTCAAATTGGATGGTTGAAGTGGAGGAATGCATCTGACTTGTTGTGCGATAGAAAAGCCCCCCTCAAACTTATGGGAAAATTCTATAAGATGGTGGTGAGAGTGAGACCTGAAATGTTTTATGGTGCCGAATGTTGGCCATTAAAAAAGAAGCATAATACTAAGTTAAGTGTTGCAGAGATGAGGATGCTCAGGTGTATGAGTGGCTTTATCCTTAGAGATAGGATACGAAATGATCATATACATGAAAAGGCTGGAGTAGCTCCAGTGGAAGATAAGATTAGAGAGAGTCGCCTTAGATGGTTTGGTCACATTAAACGGAGGCTTTTAGATGACCCGGTTAGAAAAGTTGAGGTATTAGATTATTTAATAAAAATAGAGATAGACCTAAAAAGACTTATATATTCTTAGTAATAGTTTGCTCCAATGCCTTTACATCGTTTTCAATATTTGTAAAATCTTGTAGAATAATTATTTTGTTATTAAAATATTTCTAATAAAAGAAAGTTTATCCTTCTTGTTCTTTCTATTATTTTTCTTACATTTGCAAGAATTATATGTTTGCCATCTTTAGGCCTAAATCCAACTAAAGCTTTTAAGGGTCAGAGGTATGCTCAATCATTAAGAGGTTGCACCTAGTTTTTGAGGCCCTTAAGCTATGCTCAGTTGCCTAAAGGTGGCCCGAATGCTTCTAATCCAAACAAATTTTGTGGCTCGTGGGCTTTTCTTGTGCTTTATGGTTATCCAAACATTTTTTTATGGTTCTTGAGCTTTGCTTCTCCAATCGAGGGAGTTTTATGGCTCAATAACTTTCTCACCTGGACTATTTCAAGTTTTCCCATCTAGGTTTCTTAAAGGTTGCGATGATGCATTGACACTTATTCATTGTATTTGTTTCTTGGTTTTATCTTAGTCAAATGTACTCTTCAATTTTTTTATAGTTAATTATAACGGGGACATTTGTTTTTTGGTTTACAATTAGTTAAGAATTTCCCTTTTGTTTGGCAGGAACTATCACATACTTGTTGATTTTCTTGTTTGGAAGCTTATTATGTCAACTAGGCGTAATGTTCGATACTCTCCGCTTGCCGGAGAAGAAAGCGATGATGATAATGGAGGCCAAGAAGATCTTCGATTTAGCTACAATCCTAGAGCATTTGATAGAGTTCCATGGAAGTCCATTGCTCTTGCCCTTTTTCTTCTTGCTCTGGGGTCGATCCTTCTCTTCCTCGCATTCTTCATCTTTGCAGGCCACATGGAGGGCGATAAATCTCAAGCTTTTGGCCTTCTCGCGCTTGGCATACTTTCTTTCTTACCAGGTATGTTTCAAGAACCTTCATTTTTAAATCATCAGACCCGTACATTAGTGTAACTAATATGTAGAAACCAATTAAGCTTGAGAGCTCTCGTAAATTAAAAGGAGAGTTTTACTGAAGGTGAGGACCTTATGTATTCATGATCCAATTAGATTATTTGGAGCTATAATTCTGAATTCAGAAAAATATAAGAATGATTTAATAAATAGCACTTCGATTTAGATTCTTAAGAAAATTAGATGTGTAACAGAATGTTGGAAGCAATAAATGCATCTTATGACAGTTGTTTTCATGGCTTGAAGATGACGTTTTCGGTTTTCCAACTCCAATATCATCATCATCATCATCATCCAAATGGGCTTATCACAATTATGGTTGAGCTTCAGTAGTTTTTTTTTTCTCTTAGTTCTAAACTTATATAGTAGCAAACCTTGCACTTATAGATACAAATATTTGCAAGAAATTGTTTTCAACAACACTTAATTTCGTGAGGGCTAAAACTGCTCTGTGAGAAACTTATAGCATGGAGAACATAATTGCTTAAAGGTTAGATAAACGCAAAAGAAACTTGCCTCTGTTGATGTTGACACGATCTATCATACTTGGCATAAACGTTGCATGATTTGTATTTCTTGATATGAATGTACTTGGTGCTTGTGAAAGGAGAAATTATTCTGTGCAGACGCCGAACGCAATTTATCATCCCGAGATCAACCAGAATGCGCTACATCAGCAGTACCGAGCCGGGTACCGAGCCGCGATACCGAGTAGTACCGAGTCGGGTACTGAGCAGGAGGTGACGTGGTGTATTCTGGTTGGGCTCTAGACGGCGTTCGGCGTCCGCACAGAATAATTTCTCTGAAAGAGATGTAAAACTTAACCAGGAAAAGAAAATATCCATCACATTTAAGTTTTGCTTCAAATTGCTTTGATTACATTACATGTTTTTGCTAATCTTTCTTGAAACTTCTAATATATTCATTCATTTTGGAAAAAAATTTCATGTTTAGGAGGTTTTCTTTCTTATATTTAAAATTTCTTTTATAGTTCGGATGAACATATTTTCATCTTTAGGGAGATGCACCTGAATTTGTAAAGCGGGTAGATTGAGATAACTTGAAAGAATAAGAAGAAAAATGAGTGGATCATTCTAGAAATTTTCAGAAGATTCAATAATCGAGCTTGAGGTTTAGCCATACCAAGTTCAAGCTTGAGCTCTATCATGATTCTTTTGCTGGCTTATCTTCTCAATAAATTAAGAACATGAAATTGAATTAGAATTTTTCACAGCAAAAGTATGGGAAAAAATGAGGGAAAAAGTACGTTTTTTTTTATGTTTTCTCTATAATTTTGCATTTGAAATCTGTTAATTTGAGTATTAAATGTAGCATATTATACGAGCTCATTCTCATGAGCTAATGAATTAAGTTGAGACTAACTTGGTAATTGTCACTTATGTTTCATTTATTGAGCTCGCTTATGAGACGAATGAGCTTAGTTATACCCATAGTCAATGTTTTTGAAATGAAAGGGGATAAAATGGAGAAAAGATTTTAGAAAATAAGGGACTGTAGATTTTATAGATGACTTGATTAATTAATGAATGCACTATGTCAAACTTGTGCTTTGGCTTTTGGATTTGAAGTTGAAATGTAATGTTAATGGATGTGAAAAATGATTATTAGTAATAAAAAATATTGGATGATACATAAATATGATAGGTTTAGCACATAGAATCTATCACAGAAAAGTAGGATATTATTAAGGCCATAACTGTTAGAATTAGGAACTTAAAATTATTAAAATATTATGCGAGTACTACGTGATAATTATTTTTTACTCGCAAAGGTTTAAGAAGCTTATTTGGTAAATCTAGAATTAGATTAGTTTATACTATATGCATAATTTAAGTCAAATGTGCCACAATTCAGTTTTTAATTGCAGTGAAAAAAAAATATTTGCTTCTTGATTTTTCATGTTTTGGACTTCTTGTTTTTTAATTTGAATTTAATCAATCATTACATCATCATTTTGGATTAGCTTTTAGGTATTTTGAGTTTGCACTTAAAGAAAGTAAAGATTTGTGTATTAGATAGTTTTTGATTTGCGAATTCTAATTTTTTTTTTTTTGTGTGATCTACTTTCATTACATAACCCTAGGCTTGTGTGATCCTCCATTCCAAGCTCTAGAATTAGGTTTTTGAGCAGCTACCTTACTGTCCTGTATGCCAAGCATATAATCTTACCTTACTTTTTATTCTTAAGAGCATGTTTTTGAATGTTGGTAACCAAACAGTTCTAAATGTTACAAATATTTTTTTTACTTTGGTTTCATTTGGGACGATTTTTTTACTGCTTTTTAAAGTTACTTTGTAGTCAAAAATTAAACTTTTTATACTAAAAAGTTGTTTTAAGAAGCCGTCCCAAACAAAACCTTTATCTGCCATGCTCGCTTCATGGTTGGGGTTTATAAAAAGCAAGCTTTTAGTCATAATTAGTAAACTTGTGTCCATGACCGCCACAATATTGATTTGTTTGGGACGACTTTTTTACTACTTCTTAAATCGGGTTTCTAGTATAAATTTTTTTAATTTTTGTAATAAAAAAAACCGCTTTAAGTAGCAGTAAGAAAACCGTCCCAAACGAAACCTATAACTATCATCTCCTCCACTATAACCAGAAAGTTCTATATAATTTTTGCTGCAGGATTTTATGAGACTAGGGTTGCATATTACGCTTGGAGAGGTGCCCCAGGTTACAGATTCTCCTCCATACCCTCTTACTGATTATCTTATTGTATTTGTTGTAATTCTATATGTTTGTTCCACATCTGCTTGTTGAATTTTATTTTGTGCCATATATTTTTATGATATTTGCTTCAAAGTTTTAAAGTTTGATCTTTGGGTTCTGCAAAAATGTTGCAATAAATGTCTTATCCCTAAATATTTTGTAATAAACTGTCTGATTTGTGTTTTATCTGTTTTTCTTTGTATAACAAAGTTTTACATTTCCGGACATTTGATGCTGCAGTTTGTTATTTACATAATGAGCCATTGTTACCGTTTACCGTTTATTAATTTAGCTATAATAGCCTGAGGTTTAAAACTTTGTTACCGTTTCATTTACAATCATTTCAAATATTTCGGTCATTAAGTTTGTTGTTGATTTGGTCTGATTTAAAAACCAGTTTTTATAGCTTAGAAAATGGCAAAAAGCATTTAAAAATTGTTTCTGTTTTTGGTGAATCTAAATTTTAAAAAATAATAATAAAAAATAGATCGAAGTATATAGTAATTATAAATTAAAGTACATAATACATTTTTTTATATATAGTAAGCGAATTTATGCCATTAGAAGTGTTATTGGTATTCATAGCGTCCAACATATTCGTTGGACTTTTTGATCAAAACAATATTGATTAGCAGTTTTACGCCTTAATTTGTATCTTTAACTTGCTTATTCCTCCATAGGGCTGGACAATCGATGAGACTCAAATTGATGAAATAACCTATAATTATAAGAAAATGGATGATATCGAACACACTTCATCAACCATTGGAACATCCACTGATGCTTATCTCGGTTAGTGGGCGTGCTCGGTTGGGAACCCCCATTCCGAGTTCGATTCTCTAGAGCGGCAGTCGGCCCTTAAATTGGGGCTCCAAAGCGCCGGCAATGTGTTTGTGACCCATTAGGTCGGCCAGGGTACGGACTGGCAAGCGTGCTCGATGATGTCGGGTGTGACAGCGGACGGTTCCTCGTCATATAAAAAAAAAACCCATTGGAACGGATGATGCTATTATAACAATTGAGAAGGCCGATTATCGCCCAGATATTTGGTTGCTGGAGAAGCCTTTCACCTTCACCTTTAATACCTGTAAAATTACGATTTAAAATGAAGGATAACATAATTTAATTTAAATTTAAGATTTCAAACTATGATGCTTCACATAATTACAAAAAATTAGTCGAAACTCTTATAGCATATATGTAAAAATTTTATCTAAAATTTAAACTTCATTTGGAACAGATTTCTCACTTTTTTCTAATAAAAATTTTTTAAAAGCAGAAAAAACAAAAAAAGTGATAAAAAACAGTTACAAACTAAACGAAGCCTTAAAAAGGGAGGAATGGCTTTCTAAATTATCAATTAGCGCCCGGTACCTTTCTTTGGAAAATTTATTTTGTGGGAAGTGGAACTCATCCGGTTCCCTAAGCCCGTGGCTCAGTCACCGCGTTAATGTAGCTCATTTTGATTGGTATCAGAACGCATAATTACGCTCCGCATCTGCAAAAAATAATGGACAACCAATATTCAAGTAAACAATTGTAAATGCAGGCACACTGCTAAGGGCAATTCCAACCGAAAACTCTATTTTTCACGACAAAATAACGCAAAACTTCAAAATGCCGTGCGGCTGCTCCAATCGAACGCCATTTTAGGTGTTTATGGGAAGGTAACGATCGATCTCCTTTCGTGCGTTTTTCCGGTTGAGAGTCGAAAATGGCGTGGGTGAACAGTGCGACGCCAATATTGGCGTCACACTGTTCACCTGCAAGTAGATTGCGGAAAATTTTGCGTTCGATTGGAGCGATCGAACGATATCATACGCTCGTTTGGCGTTCGGTTGGAGATGACCTAAAGCGTGATTGATCGTCCGCACAAGCAAATGCCGCGCGCAAGAATTTCTATTGGCTTAAAGGTTAAGCACCCAATTCGTTTCGGACACTCTTAAGCATTCAATAGCCAAATTAGCATTTGGTAAACAAAGAGCCTTTCCTTTTTCTTTTGAAAGGCAGGCAAACAATAAAACATTGGATGTGTCAATATACCCACTAAGTCAATCAAAACTTGGCAGATAAAGAAAGATAAACCTCAATCACAAAGGTTTAGCAAGTTAATAAAAACTTGCAATTGTTTGCTTATCTATATAATTTGAGAAGGGCAACTCCAAAGAAATTTTCAACTTAATTTGGCCTTATTACCAAGGATGGCCCTTTCTCATCACAAATGCGTAGTTTAACTATTACCTTGCTATGTGCCCACTTGTTTCTCCTTTCAAATCAAGGTGGCCCTGCATTCCACCAAACACAAATGTAATCTCACTAAGGCTTCGTTTGGGACGATTTTTTTACCGCTTTTTAAAGCAACTTTTTAGTAAAAAAATAAAAAGTTGTTTTAAGAAACAGTAAGAAAGCCATCAAACAAAACTTAAGTCTTCATTTAGAATAATTTTCTTACTGCTTTCTTACTTCTATCTTCCTTATGTAACAAACTTAAAACTGAACAACATAACAAGAAAATTAAGCATAAAGGTATATGACCTCAATTAAACTAATATGGCTGCGATTCAGTAAAGCTACTTTGGCATGAACTGCAGCCATTGCTTTCTAATTCGATGTTTTAAACATACAGTTTTTTTTTTTCTTCTTTATTCTTAGCATCTATACTGCTAGTTGTTACAAAGCCATATCCATATCCACCAACCAAATAAAATTGTATGAATCCATGCTTCAAATTTATAGTTCTTAAGTTTTTAAGCAAATTATAAACACAAATATTCTTCAGAAATCCTAGCACCAATAAAATGGAGAACTGTTCCCAAAACAAGAAGAAAAAGCACCATGGCGTGGAACTCTCTGGAGGGGCCTAGAATTCTAAGCTGATAGGTGGGCAAACATGACTAAAATCAAGGCAAATCATCAGTTATTTGATTGCATCTAACCATACTGAGTACATATAAATTACAACAAAAAAAAAAAAACAAAGTTCCAAAAAAGGCTAATACTTCCACCATATGGATCTGCAAAGAAATAAAAAGAGGCATTGACATACTCCATAACTTGCATGAAAGAAAGAAATAAAACTGTAAAGTTTCTAAAAATTGTCAGAATCATTTCAGGAGTGTTGATGATGTTGGTGCATGACATATTTTAGGGAAATAATATTATGATGAGTTGTGTCATCTGCTTTGCAAAATATGCACTTATTCCCTCATATGTTATCATCATTTTCACCTTTATTGGCTTCCAATTGCATTCATCTTATATGCCCATCTATAGACTATCATATTCAATCAATAATATACATCAGACGCCTTTTCTTCTCAACATGGTATCAAAGATTGACTAAGCTTTAGCCTCCATCATCGCTCGTCTATCCCATCTTTCTCTGTCTCGCCCTGATTACGATCCATGAGTTTCACCATGAGCCGATTAGCCGCTACTTAGCGCACATTCAATCCAATCCTTGCTAATCACTCATTGTTTGCACACACATTGGTCGCCGCTCACAACACTTTTACTCACTACAACACTCATACCTCACTTGTGCCCTAAATAGCACAGCGCCAAACTTGCAACAACCCTCGTTGCATGAGTCACTCTCCACCTACTTAAAGCATGATATTTTTAGCTTTCTCCCA